GCCGGAGCCGAGCCGGGGTCGCGGCAGCAGCGGGGACCCTCGGAGGCGGGGCCGGTGGGACTGCGATGGGCGTGGAGATCGAGACCATCTCCCCGGGAGACGGTACCAGGCGGCGGAGCCGGGGACGGAGGAGGGGTCCCGGTGGGGAGCCGGGCGGATGGGGGTCTGGTTTAGAGGAGGCGCGGAGGGTGCGCGACGCGGAGGCGGGCCTAGGAGGGGGGCGGCGGGAGGAGAGACCACCGACGGGATCGCTGCAGGATTGGGAGACGACCCTCCGCCGTCCGCTCCGCGCAGACTCTCCTAGGGAACGAAGGCGGCGGCCGGGAGGCGGGGGTCTGCTGCCCGCCGCCGCCCCGGGAGCCACGGGCTGCCTCTGCCGCGGCTGGAACCGCTCGCTCGGTTATCCGCTACTGATGATTTCCCAGGGCCAGGTTTTAGCTCCGCTTTTCCTGCCCTGCTGGGTGAGCTCTGGAAACAGGGGAAAGGACATGCTTTGGGGTCTCTCCTCCTCGGGGTACCCCCCTTCTAACGCGCGCTCCCCACCCCACCCCCCCATCGGGCCTGCGGTCGGGCGGCCCCCTGCGGGCTGAGCTGGAGACGCTGGAGGGACCGAGCCGGTCTGGGAAGGAGCGGCGCTCCCCGCCTCTGCATCTCGCTTTATCCTCCCCGCCCCACTCCTCCTCACCGGCCTCCCGTCCGCTCCCATGGTTTTCAGTCTCGTCTGCAAACCGATGGCCTTCAAACTGAAGCCTCCGGCCCAGACCTCCGACCTGAGTTCCCGGTCGTCCATTTATCCAGCAGCTGCTCAACCTCTCCCTGCCCACCGATACTTCAAAGTCAGCAAGTCCGAAACAGAACTCGCGCTCCTCTGTGTTCCCTGCTCCCAGCCTCCGGGACTAACACCACTCTTTTCACAGGTGTCACCCTTGTATGATTGGGTCTGGATGGGCAAGGAATAGCCACCTCTTTATTTCTTAAACAAAACAGTTCAGACTGGAGCCCCCATTTCTGCATGATATAACAGGCAAACTTCATGTCAGACATTACTGAGACACCCCAACCCCCGAAAATTAGAGGGCCTCTTGCTTCTTGGCCACTCCTTATCGAAAGGTAGTGGTCCCTAGGATCACCCCGCCCCCCTCTGGGGTACAGTTTCTTTGCTCTCGCTGGCAACGGTGTTGCTGGGTCCCAGGAAGCATATCCTTGAGGACTTGTCACCCTCTCGCCCACCCCAGGACACTGCCATAGAGCTCTGTGGTGGTGGTGGCGGTGGTGGGTGGTACTGGAGATCTCTTTTCTCTTCCCTTGCTCAAAGAAGCCTGCAGAGTGTTCTCTCCCATCCTCCCTCGCTGGCAGCGGGACAAGGAGCATTTTCTCTGAGGATTAGATTTTTCGGGAAAGTCTAGAGGAGCTCTGGCCTTCTGCTTTCAGCCCCGTCTAAATCTTTGAGTCGAGGAAGCACAGAAGGGCCAGGCAACTGTGCTGTAACCCAGGAGAGGAAGGCACGAATTAATATTTCAACACATATGCTGCTGTGCTGGGGAACGCCTGTCTTGGTCGAGCCCCACACCAAGTCCTGTCAAGTCCTCCGGCTGAATATCTCTAAATTCCATCACTGCCTTAGTTCAGGCCACCATCTTCTGTCACCTGGATTTCTGCACAGCCTCTAAACTGGTCTCCCCACCTCCAGTCTCACCTCCCTGCTTCCATCTGGCCTCCTCACGTCACCCTCAGTCACATTCTACACCACAGCCTGAGGCCTCTTTAAAATGCCTTTTGACCATGTCGCTCCTTGGGCATAAAATACTTTAATGAATCTCCCATCTTCTTCTCCAGGCATACGGTGATATAACCAATCCCTTCCTTCCACACTAGAGCCTCATCTCTCACTACCAGTCCCTACCCCCACTACCAACATTTTCTCCAGCTTTAGCAAGCTGTCTGCAAGTTGTTAAACACACCAGTCATTCAGCAAATATTTATTGAACATGTACTGTGTGCTGGGACCTGGGGTTACAGCAGTGAACCAGACGGGGCTCCCCGTATGCTTGACTCTAGGCCTTTGAGCATGTTGCTCACTGTTTCCAGATTATCTCCTTTTACTTCCTGTTTCAAACTACTCATCTTTTAAGACCTCAGTTTAACCATTATCTCCTCTCTGATTCTTTCCCTGACACCCACAGCTGGTTAGCTGCTCCCTCCTCCATACACAGTTACCAAAGAGTTCTCTTAAGTGTCGGCTCAGTTGTTAGCCCTCCCAAGGCGTTGTTATCCAGCCCTATTCCTTTAAATTCCACCCAAATTTATATCTCTAGTGCAGACTCTCCATCTGCCTACTTGCAATATAAACTCAGATGTCTAATAGGCATCTCAAGATTGCCACCCGCTCAAATCTGTTCCTCCCCACTCTGCCCCATCTCAGGAATTTGCTCCACCATCCATCCAGCCACCCAAACTGAAAACCGGAGCACTGTGCTTGACTTCTCCTTCTCCCTCCTCCTGGACCTCACATCCACTCCATTAGCATACCCCGTCGGCTCTGCTTCCGAAATATATCTCCAATCTCGTTTGCTCTCTTCTCTGCTGCCACCACCTTAATTCAAACCATCATTGATTTCCTGTCTGGATTACTGCAACAGGCGCCTGACCGTCCATCCGACACACAGCAGCCAGAGCAATCTTATAAAATCTTAATTCAGAATGTCATTCTCGCTTAAAACCTTTCAGTGGCTTCCTACTGCACTTAGAATTAAATCCAGCTACGCAAAACCTGACGAGGTCCAGCTCTTTTTCTACCTGTCTCCTTCTCCCTCCCCTCTTTCCAGTCACCTGGCCTCTTTTCTATTCTACAAGTGCACTTATCCTTTCCTGCCTCATTTTTTTGCACTTGCTGCTCCCTCTTCCTTCAGTGCTTTCCCCAGCATTTTGCTCATTCTTCAAGTCTCAGCTCAGATGAGAAGACGTTCTGGACCATCCTTTCTAAAATGGCCTATTCCATTGTATCTCTCTTTAATTCATCTTTATAGAGAATTTATAATCTATAATTATCTTGTTTATTGGAGGGTTGTCTCCCTCCATTAGAATGTAAACTCCAAAAGAGGAGGGGTCTTGCCTGTGTTGTTCACTGCTGTATCCCCCAAAATCAGGTAGACACGACTCGCACACAGTGGGTATTCAGTAAATATTTGTGAATAATCGTGTTTATTCATCCTTGATCACAGTCATCACTCTGCATTAGAATCTATTATTTATGTGTCTGTTTCCCTAACTTCATCATAAGTTCATATATTGCTTTGTGTTTCTGGCACACAGTAGGTTGTCAGTGAATGTTTGTGGAATGGATGAAGGGAAGTAAAAGGAGACCTCAAAGAAAGGAAGAGAACCGGGAGAGAGTGGAATCGAGGAACCCAAGAGAATAAAGTTCAAATCAAGGCCAGAGAGGTGAAGTGACTAATCTGGCTCACACAAGGCACAGAGCTGGAACTAGAGCCTCCTTGCTATGGAAGGGAATGTGGGCCAGAGGTCATGGTCACAATCACATCTGAATATCCCAGGCGACTTTTTCTAATACCCTATTCATTCATCCACCTTCATGTCTCCTTGCAGGAAGGACATTCCCCAAGAAGGGCCAGACGTGTGTGGTGCACTACACAGGTAGGCCTCCCTTCGCCCTCATCGGTTCTGCTCCCGCCAAGGCAGGCCTCTCCTCTGATACTCCTCTCCAGAGATGTCTGCTCCCCTGGATCAGGCCCAGAGCTCAAGGCAGCCAAGTCTTCCTCTAACTAGCTGTCCCCCTACTTCTCCCAGCCAAGCCTTGTGGGAGTGAGAAAGGGGGCTTGCACGGTTAACTCCTCCCCACTTATACTAGAGACCTCTGTGGTGCCAGCCTCCAATTGAGCCAAGACCCTCCATTCCTCTTCCCTCTGTTGCGGACAGGGTGGAGCCCAGGCCCTCCTATGTCTGTCTGATATTTGGAAATCCCTTCTTACAGCTCTGAGAGCCCCGACCCTCTCTGCAGACTCGCTTTTCATCCTACAGTATTATTGAAGAGGAGGGTGGCTTCCTCAGAACTTTTCTTTTTTCAGGAATAGACCGTTCAATTCAGTCTATTATTGAGCACCTACTGTGTGCAAGATGCTGTGCTAGGCACTGGGGCACAAAGATGAAATGGGAGGATTCCTACCTTTTGGGGGGCTGTGGGGACTTGGGGTGGATAGGCAAGTCATCCAGAGACTCTGGTGCATTGTGTGTGGGGGGTGGCAGTGCTTGTCTCGGTGCTTGGGAGCTGGAGGAGGACCCCACATCTCTGCTGACCCCTCTTAGATGATCTGTATTGGAAGGCCAGGTGGGCTGAGGAAGAACATTCTAGATGGAGTTCCTGAAGACTACTGGCAGGAAGATCACGAGCAAGTGTTTGTTCTAAGGGGGGAGGAAGAATGCTCTGCCTTGTGACCTGCTTCCCAATGTGGCAAACCTGGTGACAGCCACTTAGCAGACAGCAAGGCCAGTTTAATTCCTAGGACATATTGAGATGGGGCCATTTTTAGCAGTTCTCCAGGCCAGTGTGAAGTGCCAGGTTAATTCTAGGCAGACAGTGTGGGTATTTCTTCACTGCTGTGTTGCTGGTCGCTGACGTCAGTGGGCTGGAGCTGTGTTTTATCTCCCAGTGATCTGGCCTAATTACCATGAGTCTTCTGGGGCCTCTGACCTGTGTAATTGATTTATCTGTTCTACATGTTGCAGACGATCTGTACTTATCAAGTTACTGAGACCCCGACATCCTTTTGCAAAGACTTTTCACAATACATACGAAGAGGAGGCAACATGCATTAAACACTAACGTCAGCCATGAGTGGCTCTGTCTCATCAAACACAGAGGGAGGCTGTGTGGGACTTTTTGTAAAGTTTTTAAATTAAATGTAAATACAGTAGAAAACATAAATCTAAGATGTACGGCTCCATGAAATTTTTCAAAGCGATCACTTAAGTTACCACCACCCAGATCAACATATACATTTCCAGCACCCCCAGGAGTTGGCCTCCCGCCTCCTCTCAGTCATTGCCCCTCCCTTAAGGTAACCAGTGTTCTGACTTGTGTCTCCATGGATTGGTTTTCTCTATTTTTGAGCGTTAAGTAAATGGAATTACAGAGTATATACTCTTTCCTGTTTGGCTTACTTCACTCAATATTATGTCTGTGAGACTTATCCAGAATGGTTTGTTCTTTTTTATTCCTGGACAGTTCATTGTATGAATATACTACAATTAATATACCACAATTTATCCTTTCTACAGCTGATGACTATTTGGACCGTTTATAGTTTTGGGTTATCACGAAGTATTGCTTCGAACAGTCTTGTATGTCTTTTGGTGCACAGCTGTACACATTTTGGCTGGATATATACCCGGAAGTGAAATTGCTAGGGCACAGGGTTTTTCATGTGCTTATTGGCCATTTGGATACTCTTTAGTCTGCTCAAATTCTGTTCATTAAAAAAAAATTAGGTTGTCTGTCTTTTTGATTTAGAGAAATTCTTTATGTATTCTGGATATGAGTCTTTTGTTGGCTGTACCTATCTCAAACATCTCCCATGCTATGGCTTGCCTTTTGATGAAATACTTTATACTTTTCTATTGGTGTATTTTGAACAGAAGGTCTTAATTTTCATTAAGTTCTACATATGTCTTTTCCTTTATAGTTAGTACTTTTTGTGTTGAGTTCAGAAATGTTTGTCTATCCCTAGGTCAGGAAGATATTCTTCTATTTATTATATCGTAGAAGCTTTATTATTTTATGTCATATTTAGGTCTATGATTCATCTGGAATTGATTTTTATATGTGAGTGAGGTAGGGGGTCAGTGTTCATTTTTATCCATATGGATTTACAGTTGACCCAGCAACATTAATCAAAAAATCATCCTTTATCCTTTGCATTGCAGTGGCACCTTTGTCAAATCAAGTACCATACATGTGTGTATATATATACATATACACACACACACATATATGTATATATACATATATATATGGGTGTTTCTGGACTGCATGGTTTTGGCTGAACATGTGGCAGAAGATAACTGTATGTGAACTGAAGTAGATTAAGTCATATGAAACCTGAAGAAATTGGGGAATGAGAAAGTCAGTCTTTAAATGGAGTGTGTGAATGTATGTGCATAGTCATATACGTAGTAGTCCAAGTATGTGTCTATGTGAATGTATGTAGATTTGTGTATCTAAATATTTTCTTAGCATCTGTTTGGCCATCAGAATTTTTCTTCTGAGTGCGTGTGCTTAAGCACATGTGAGCAAGCATGAGTATCTCTGTGTATCTGAATAACTTAGCAACCTGTGTGTATCCATGAGTTTGTATCTGATCTCCCTAGTATCCATCTGTGTAACCACAGGGTTTTCTCCTTTGCCTGATTTAGTACCCAGGGTAAGAGCCCAAGTTATTCTATCCAGAAAGTAGGTGATAAGACTGTCCCTTGTGTACATTTAAGTTGTAGGAGCTAGGATAAAGAATCATAGATGCTTAGACAGACACTAAGCTGGCCTGGACCTCCCATGTTAAACATGACAAATCCATGAGAAAGGAAGTGATTTACCGAACTTCACACTATGAGCTAGTGCCAGAGTGAAGTTAGAATCTAGTCTTTGGACTTACAGGACCGTCTTTCTTTGGACCCCTGTTGCCTTTTGTTGTGATCCAAGGGCTGCAGGAAGAAGTTTCAGAACAGCATCATTTACAGAAAGTATGATCTTCGAGTCAGTCACCAGTAAGAAAAATAGAAAAGCAGCTCTTAGGCCTTAGGTAACTGGACTGAGACAATGTTTGTACATCAGGGATGACAAGGCATCTGACGCTGGAGGGATGCTCCAAGCTACTAAGATAGCTTGTAGGGTATTCTGGGTTCACACAGCCCTTGTATGGGGTCTGGAGGCCACTACTTACTGGCTGGGTCACTTTACACTGTTCACTGTGACCTTTGGGTTTTGCACGATGGGGGAGCCTTGAAAAAACCAGGTGAGGACTCAGCCAAGGAGGAAATGCCTGGGAAAACATCTTCAGGATGAGGAAGTGACCCCAAAATAGTTGTAAAGTAGAGAGGTATTTGAAGAAGGTATGACCTGAATAGGACATGGGGGAAGGGGAGGGAAGGGCAGAACAGAGGGTTATTGGGTAGGCAACAGCCAGATCTTGAAGTACCTGTTTTGCCATGTAGGCATTTGGATTTTGCCATGGGGAGCTATTGAAGTATTTTAAGCAAGGGAGTAATATGGTCAGATATGTGTTTTAAAAAATCATTCTGGGTACAGTGTGGAAAATAAAATAGAGGAATAAGAGTGGAGCAAAAAGACCATTTAGAGAGTGTTCCTGTACACCAGTGAGACATGATGGTGACTTGGTGAAGTCCCAGGATGGTGGTAATAGAAATGGAGAAAACAAGTGATTCCAAAGATATGTAGGACATGGTGATAGGCTGCATGTGGGGTAAGACAGTAGGAAGAATCCAGGTTTACTGTTCAGGCACCAGGACTAATGGGGAAGATTGGAAGAAGTCTGTGCAGAACAGGAAATCCATTTTAGACATTTTGAACCTGAATCAGGAGTTGACTCATGACCACAGCTCTTTTCCCTTTTATTCTTGCTTTCATAGGAATGCTCCAAAATGGGAAGAAGTTCGATTCATCCAGAGACAGAAACAAACCTTTCAAGTTCAGAATTGGCAAACAGGAAGTCATCAAGGGTTTTGAAGAGGGAGCAGCCCAGGTAGGATGGGGATCCTCTTTAGGGGGGATTTGAGGAGTCAGGTGTCTGGGCTCAGCACTCTGCTCTCCAGCTGATCACAGACGCTACTGTTTTGATGCTATTGCAGGGCATGACAAGGCCATCTAGTTTCAGTCCTGGCTTTGTGTCCCCACCCCTTTTGTTGCCAACCTGACTCCTTTGTGTCACTGGGAATTCCCACCCCAAGCACGTCCCCCCAGGATTGCTCAGCATTAGCTGGGGAGGCCTGTGAACTACCAGCTGTCTGGGACTGAGGAAGAAGAGTTGGGGTAGGGTAGGCCAAGGTGTTTTTTGTTTTTTGTTTTTAACTTAAAAAACAATTTCAGACTTGCAAAAATATTGCAGAAATAGTAGCATTCCCATATGCTCTTTACCCAGCTTCCCCAAATGGTAACATTTTATGTAATCATAGTACAATGATCAAAACCAGGACGTTAACATTAATACTATTAACCAATCCATTCCAATTTTTGAGTCAGTTATTCAAACCTTAAAAATTGATTTTAAAAAATTTCACCAGTTGTCTAATGCCATGCCAGTTCCTGATGACTGCTGTGATTGAGTCCGGGTTCAAGCACTCCGTGAAGTCATATGATACATCATTTAGAATAGTTCTCTTGGCCTTCTCCACCTGTTGTGGCCTCTAATCTCTAAACCTAATGAACTGCTTCTGTCACCTACTTGAGTGTGCACATCCATGTGCTCTTTATACACTCTCCTTAGGCTTCTTTGGAAGAGGGTGAAGAACAATCATGAACAAATGGAAGTGTTAGGCATTACACTAATGACCAGCAATGATTGTTGGATGAATAAATTTGACACTTTGTGGAAATTATTGTCCTACAGTCAAGTTTCTGCTATTCTGAGGCAGAATCTGCATGTGTTACAACCCTTTGCACAACTTCAGTGTGCCACACATAAAATCATCTCAGAACTTGTTACCATGAGGATTGTTTGGGAAAATGCCATAGTTATCTTACTTTTTTCTTTTAAATCAAGCTGGGTCCTCTTTCTCCTCTCCCCATCTGCCCCCATCCCTGCTAGATGAGCTTGGGGCAGAGGGCGAAGCTGACCTGCACCCCTGATGTGGCGTATGGAGCCACGGGCCACCCCGGTGTCATCCCTCCCAATGCCACCCTCATCTTTGACGTGGAGCTGCTCAACTTAGAGTGAAGGCAGGAAGGAACTCAAGGTGGCTGGAGATGGCTGCTGCTCACCCTTCTAGCCTGCTCTGCCACTGGGATGGCTCCTCCTACCTGGGGCTCTTGATCAGTGTGCTAATCTCACTGCCCCGCGACACTATCCATTCTGCCCAAGTTGCCCTGTATGCGTTCGTCATTGTTCACGTGCATCTTTGCTTGAGGAAACCTCGGTTGCAGCTCAAAACGTTTCAGGTCGTGCATTTTGCGTGATGCATGTAGTAGCCATTCCTGATCACAAAACACAGATTTCTTGTTCGCACAATCTACACTGCCTTACCTTCAATTAAGCCAGACACACAAGGTGCTCAGACATGAAATGTACATGATGTACTGATGTACACAGAGGGACTTGAGCCAGTTACCTTTGCTGTCACTTTCTCTCTTAGAAATTCTGTTGGCTGCTGAATTATAAAAATGTCCTCTTTAAAAATGACATGTAAAATAAAGGCTCTGTGCTCGACAAATTCCTGTCCATCATTATTGTAGGTAGGAATTGCTATAAGGACATGAGCCATTGCTCTTGGGACGAAGAATGGAAAAGAGCCTTCCAAGTAGCCAGGAGAGTGATAATAAATTTAATAGCTATGATTTATTGTACATGCTGGGCCTCGTCTATATATTTTCAAATAAAATGACCACTGATCCTCTAAGCAGTCCTATGAGGTAGGTATTACTTGTCACTCATATTGCAGGCTCAGAATTCTCCTAAGTAACTAAAGGAATATATTGTGTTCAAATCCCATGGCCTAGCAATCAAATGTGGGATCCTAGCACTTTGTGATTTTGCAATCTCTGCTTGTTTAAACGTAAGAGGAATGAGCTCGCCTCACCCAGATAGAAAAGAACACTGTGCATCTAACAGGAGAAGGGGTGTTAGGCCTTGGAGCCACACATTCACTCAAGCTGGGAAGTTACTTTTGATAAGAATGTGTGATTCTGAGCTTGTTTTCACATTTACTTAGTTTCATCTAATTTGCTCTAACTTACATTGGGTAATTACTTCTGAGAAGGTATAATTCTGAACTTGTTTCTACATATACTGCTTAATTTTATTGACATTTACTATAAATCATGGGAATTCCCAGTTAGGTTTTAAAATCAGACCACTTATTGGTATGGGTTGTCTGTTCATCAGAGGAGCCTGGGGCAGTGTGGCTAAAAGATTTTTCTTTTAGCTGGCATAGGCGAGAAAAGCTTTTAGCCATAGTCAGGGTTACTTAGTCAGTGTAACAGGTACTGTTAGACTCCTTCATAGTCTCTTTGATACATGTCACACGATGTCATATATATGATGTGAAGCCACATCATTTTGGCTACTTCATCTACCCCTGTGGTCTTCAGGAAGTCCTGGCTGTATTCCTCCGCTGAGGACTGAGGAGTTAAGAGGCAGTGCTTTAAGATGGAGAGAATGAAATGAGAAAGGGCCTGCCTTGTTCTTAATCACCCAGTCCCCGGACTCACTTCTACTGTGGGACTAGATGAGTGTTTTCTGGGGTGTTTCCCTCAGAATGTCTTAGCACCCAGCTTTCTTTGATGACACAAACGTCTACGATAATTTCTCAGAACTCGGCCTGTACAAGACATCTCATGTTTTCTGCTGTGACACCAACAGGATAACTAAAAATGGCACCAAGAACCATTACAGGTGTCCATTATGCAGTCATATAAAAGATCTCAGTCTCAAGTGTTTATAGCTTAAGTGATAAAAGGAGACACTCAGTAAGAGAACCAAAACAAATAAACAAACAAAAGAATGCAAATACCTATTGGCTAGCACCTAGAGAGATGGATACGCTAGACTGCAGGCTACTGATGTACACAGAGGGACTTGAGCCAGTTACCTTTGCTGTCACTTTCTCTCTTAGAAATTCTGTTGGCTGCTGAATTATAAAAATGTCCTCTTTAAAAATGACATGTAAAATAAAGGCTCTGTGCTCGACAAATTCCTGTCCATCATTATTGTAGGTAGGAATTGCTATAAGGACATGAGCCATTGCTCTTGGGACAAAGAATGGAAAAGAGCCTTCCAAGTAGCCAGGAGAGTGATAATAAATTTAATAGCTATGATTTATTGTACATGCTGGGCCTCGTCTATATATTTTCAAATAAAATGACCACTGATCCTCTAAGCAGTCCTATGAGGTAGGTATTACTTGTCACTCATATTGCAGGCTCAGAATTCTCCTAAGTAACTAAAGGAATATATTGTGTTCAAATCCCATGGCCTAGCAATCAAATGTGGGATCCTAGCACTTTGTGATTTTGCAATCTCTGCTTGTTTAAACTTAAGAGGAATGAGCTCGCCTCACCCAGATAGAAAAGAACACTGTGCATCTAACAGGAGAAGGGGTGTTAGGCCTTGGAGCCACACATTCACTCAAGCTGGGAAGTTACTTTTGATAAGAATGTGTGATTCTGAGCTTGTTTTCACATTTACTTAGTTTCATCTAGATTTGCTCTAACTTACATTGGGTAATTACTTCTGAGAAGGTATAATTCTGAACTTGTTTCTACATATACTGCTTAATTTTATTGACATTTACTATAAATCATGGGAATTCCCAGTTAGGTTTTAAAATCAGACCACTTATTGGTATGGGTTGTCTGTTCATCAGAGGAGCCTGGGGCAGTGTGGCTAAAAGATTTTTCTTTTAGCTGGCATAGGCGAGAAAAGCTTTTAGCCATAGTCAGGGTTACTTAGTCAGTGTAACAGGTACTGTTAGACTCCTTCATAGTCTCTTTGATACATGTCACACGATGTCATATATATGATGTGAAGCCACATCATTTTGGCTACTTCATCTACCCCTGTGGTCTTCAGGAAGTCCTGGCTGTATTCCTCCGCTGAGGACTGAGGAGTTAAGAGGCAGTGCTTTAAGATGGAGAGAATGAAATGAGAAAGGGCCTGCCTTGTTCTTAATCACCCAGTCCCCGGACTCACTTCTACTGTGGGACTAGATGAGTGTTTTCTGGGGTGTTTCCCTCAGAATGTCTTAGCACCCAGCTTTCTTTGATGACACAAACGTCTACGATAATTTCTCAGAACTCGGCCTGTACAAGACATCTCATGTTTTCTGCTGTGACACCAACAGGATAACTAAAAATGGCACCAAGAACCATTACAGGTGTCCATTATGCAGTCATATAAAAGATCTCAGTCTCAAGTGTTTATAGCTTAAGTGATAAAAGGAGACACTCAGTAAGAGAACCAAAACAAATAAACAAACAAAAGAATGCAAATACCTATTGGCTAGCACCTAGAGAGATGGATAGCTAGACTGCAGGCTCTGCTTTACTGATGCTCTTAAAAGATGATACAGAAAATTATGATACGAAATGCTAACATGTTTGGACACTACCGAAAGTTGTTAGGCAGGAGAGTGATGATGAGATCTATGTCATTTCAGTCATTTTAAAACTATCAATCAATACATTCTCTAGTCATAAAAAACCTTTCCTAGAAACTCAAACTTTAACCTAGAAGAATGTAAAGTAACTCTGGCACACAAGTGTATGCACATACACATGCATGGACACAATCATCTCTCGTACCCTGAAAAGAAGTTTGAAAATCTGAGCCTTAGATGCCCAGTGCAGAGAATCGATCGTAACCGCATCTTAGCACACAGACTTGACACAGAATAGGTCCTTGATATTTCTCTTTTGAATTAAAGTTCTTATAACCTACCTGGGACAGGCTACAAAACTGTCAAAAAACAATTAGAAAGAATTTTTTAAACTTAACTTTAGGTAATGAAATTCAACTAACAGATATATTAACCCAAATGATGGATCGGCCATAACTGTCAATAGTAAGAATTTCCCCTTGTTATTAATGTGAAACAATTATACTACAGGCAAGCTAGTCTGCTACTTAGACATATCACACTATAAATATGTCTAATTTGTTTTCCCCCTCAAAAAAAAGTCTTTTAGAAAATTATTTTTACATTTGTAAATACCTAAAGGAACACGATGCATTACAAAAACTGATAAGGAATTCATAAAAGCATACATAAGAACATTACAGCTGTGGCTTTGTCATCTGCCTGCCCTTCTTAAAAATGACTACTCTTTTTACAGTGCTTTCAAAAAGCACTCTGACATAATAAGACAATTATTTCTTCATTTTCAAGAGTAAGCTTTGAAAAGACAGCACAAAAAGTATAAAATAGCCTTATTTTCTTAAAGTAATGATAGACTTAAAAGCTAAATGCTTTAAAAAAGAGAATAGAAGTGGACATGGTTCCATAGTGTAGCGGTTAGCATGTCTGTTTTACAAGCAGAAGGTCCTGGGTTCGTGCCCCAGTGGAGCCACGGTCCGTGGGCTACAGCCATGCCACCCTGAACACGCCCAATCTCGTCTGATCTCAAAAGCTAAGCAGAGTCAGGCCTGTTTAGTACTTGGATGGGAGATCACTTAGGAAGACCAGGTGCTGTAGACATAAAAAAATAAAATAAAAAATAGATGCCCTTTGTCCATTTAAACGATTCAGTCCTTTTACCCTTCGAGTTAATTTTGGGTTATAGTTACACATAAAACAATTAGTCCATGTTTTTCCATTTGGCCTGTGCCTAAATTATAAACAAAATTATAGCTATCTCCTCCAAGCTGCCAAGCTATGATGAATGTGGAAATAACCATACTATTTCCATGCCATGGGAGCTCATGATTATAAGACTAACCATTAAGTATTTTATTTACAGCAAAGATATGCTATGAGCTTAGGTCCAAAATATACACAGACACTTATTAACTAAACAGAGAGACTACATAAATACAATCTGACATACGTAACAACCAACACCACTACCCAAGCAGCTTGCTCTCAAGTTTTTAACATTGTGCTGTAATCTGAATGGCCATTTCTGGAATAAACCTCTGTTCAAAGGACAAGGGTACAAAGGAGTTTTGTTAACTGTAAAGTAAGTATTATTCAAATGTACTGGTGTGGTTAATATTACAGCAGCTTTTAATGTAAGCATTTTATTCATTCAAATATGATGAACTTTGATTTCCTTATCTGCAAAATGGAGATACCTCCTTCACTGAGTTGTTATGAAGATTTCATCATTAACAGACATTCAATAAATGACACCAAGTTCCCCTGATGGCTAAGCACTGGACTGGACACTGAAGGCATTAAGAATACAAAAAAAGTCCCTGCTTAGTCCCTGCTCTCAAAAAGCTCACCGACCACCAAACAATTCTTGATAAGTTTCAAATGTTGGGTTTTGTTTTTCTGGTATCAAACAGGAGAGGAAAGTCCAAGAGAAAACACTGATATGTTTTACAAAAAGCTACAAGTTTACTAACATAACATATTCTAACATGTATCAAAGTTTCAAGCAGGACATTTTGCATTTCTAATAAGAAATCACAGTACTCAATATTAATTAAAAACTGAAAAACGGGGTGGTGGTGATTCATGGGTTTCAGTCCAAAACGAAAACATAGAAAATGTTTACTTTGGTGGATCTGTGTTGATGCCATACTTCTCCTTGAGAAGCTTCAACTGTTCTTCCTTTTTCTTTGTGTCCATCTTCTGAAATGCCTGAAAGTATGATAGGCACCAAAGGCAACAGTTACCAATCTACAGTCAAATGTATTAGCATTAGCCAATAGCATTAGCCAGAAAAAGAACTCAGAGTACATATCTCCCCTAACCATGCAGTTCTGCACTAATTCTTACATGTGCAACCCACGCCATGGGAATCATGGCTATACTTACCCTGTTGGCATTATAGTACAAAACCACGAGGTATCTGTTACAAACATTGAATCCTGACAGGTGATCACAAGCATTCTTGGCATCAAAGATGTCTTCATAGACCACATAAGCTGTTCCTCTGGTTTCAGGTGTATTCCCCCTGCAGAGTTGAATCACATTTAATTAAGTACACATTTACCTAAAATCCATTAGAGGAAATAAACATTATAGATAGGTTTGGATAAGCCTGCGATTTCTTGAATTAGGTAAGCCTGCGATTTCTTGAATTAGGTAATTTTGTTTTTCAGTAAAATAGCTACAGGTTAAACTTACTGTTACATTAAGAATACTAATATAGCTACAAAATCAAACAGCAAAGGACTAGTTTGAAATTTTGTCAAAAAAAAAACTCATTCCTACTTTTCATAATAAGAACCAATTTTCAGTCTTTCTGGAAAGTACAGTACAGTACTGTGATGGCTCCTATTAGTCAGCAGTGTTTAAAATGTTTTATTATTTATTTATTTATTTTTTTACAGCAGAAAAAAGCTTTATTAGAAGGGAAAGTATACTTCTAGACATGGAAGTGGGCCTGAGCAAGAGAAGTGTGGCTCAAAAGGCCCGGAGTGATTTTGTTTTTGTTTTTCCTGTGCATTTATGCAACAGAACCAATAATTTTTTACCATACTATCACCTGGAAATTAGTCCCTTATTTCTAAAGATTTAGATCCCTCCACCCTAATTTAATTACAGTTTCAATTCTTAAAATGATCTCCATCAATGTAGGAAATACATTTCTGGGCAATATTTTATTAAGGTTTATTAAATCTATAAAAATAAAACTTATTTTGTTGTCTGCGGGGGATTGGGGTGGTTGGGAGGAAAGCTCCTACTAAGAAGATGGCAAAATTCTAAACGGGGTTATATATATAAGAAAACAGTCAACCATCATCCTTTATGACCAGAAAAGGATGTCCCCCAACGTAACGTTGTTTCTTCTACTTTTCTTATAAATTCTTTACATTTTTAGACTGCAATATAGTCAGCACCTTACATTCATTTTTAATTTTTAATACAATCTGCACTGTCAGACATTAATAATCCCCTTTGGCTGGGAAAAAGGGCTGGGCTTCTGCAGATTTTGGAGTGGAAGTATGCTTATGGGTGGGATTATCTGCGAGCCAGACAGGATGCTGGAAGGCAGCTGGAAGGGGAAGCTGAACCTTGCTCAGGGATATAATGTTGCTTCTTATGTACGTGTTCCTTGCCACCTCCATTCCTCACCTCACCAGCTTCTGTCAGGGAAGGAGGTACGGAAGTGTGAGAAACAACACACTGCAGGCAGCAGATGGTCATGTGCTTGGGAGTGAGGACAGTGGACAGAAATCCTACTCAATTTATCCTCCGGTGTGATAAAGATGGACCCTTTGCCTCCATCTGTGTCTGAGCCACTCAGTGCAACTGAGGAACAAGGTTTAAGACCGTGGTCTGCCACAATTCCTGCACAGGGTCAAAGAAAGGGAGCAGGCCATGACAAGGGGAGGACCTGCCTAGATCTGATCTTGTGCTTCCTGTAAAGGGGATGGGACAGGTCTAGAGTGCAGGGGTGCTGGAGGGTGCCAGTGTCAATGAATGCGCTCGCTTTGTCAGGTTGCATGGGTCTGATGAGTGATTTTATAATACTCTTTACTCTCTGGGAAGTCTAACAACTTTAGGACTTTTGACTTAATTGTTTTCAAGAATGCATCAAGTATAAAAACTAGGGACTGCCCAAAGGAAAACACATTGCCCCAAAGATTTCCCCAAAAAAGTTCATCTAATTCTTCCTTTGGAAAAACTAAAAAATTTTAAGATTTTATGTTCCTTAAAGGCAAACGTGGTTTACATTTCATTTTACTCCCACAGTACTAAGTAACCGCCAGTGGTCATAAGCATTTGAAGGGTAGAGATCACTTTCTGTCACACGTCCCTTCTCCAAGAAGCTAATGAGAGAAAACAAGAGCATCTCCTCTTACATTTTCTTACAAAGACTAGGGACAGGCACTAACGCCATGTTAAAGTGCCTCCATCTTGAGTGTCCCAGCCTTAATTATCAACCCATTATCTTGAGAACCACATTATAACTTTAATTTTTAAAAGCATGTACTTGGTAGCTACTACATGTTAGGCACTGAACCAACATTATTTTCTTGATTGGTGGTAAAAGCTAAATGACATCGGACTCTATCACCTGCCCTACCATACATGTGGTTTTAATAATCAAGAGGTAACAAGCGTGAAAAGGCTTTAAAAAGTTCAAAGTACCAAATGTCTGCTACATGCCAGATAAGGTGACTAATCATCCCAGTTTGCCTAAGACTGTCCAGGTTTCAGTACTGAAAGTCCACATCCCAGAAAACCCCTGGGTCCTGGGCAAACTGAGAAGGTTGGTGCTAGGTGCCAAGTATGCCATAAAGCATTAGCACAGCTATGGGACAGAAAAACATGTTTCTCAATATATAATTTAGACCCAAGTTCCCGCACACCAAACTTTTCTAACTTTGCTGATATAAACATCTCTTGATTGTATACCATGAATAAATTTTTTAATGCCTTCATAAATTAATCACAGCCACGCTACTGTCTTGTATATTATTCACTTATTTATATATACTGGATGGTTAACATGTATCAGGCACAACAAGAGTTGTCAACACAAAGTGAAAGGAATATGTGGTACCGCTCTGAAGGAGCTTGGAGGCTGGCAGGAGAGACAAATGAGTACACAGACAACAGCAAAACCATGTGTTAAGTAAGAAGAGATGTTCATAGAAGGTGCTATGGGAGCAGAGAGAAGGGTGGCTCGTGCACACCGGGAAGGAAACACACGGCAAAGTGCTGTCACAGGCACTATCTAATTTGATCCTCACTATAATTCTTTTAAAAGAGCAGGTTAGAGAAATTGTATTTCACAGATAATTGAGGCTCAGAGGGGTTAAATATTTGCTCAGTTTCACACGATTACCAAGTACCCAGTTAGTATTTGAACCTAGGTCTTACAATCAATTCAATAAATTTATCATGCTGCCTCCATGTTAAAAGTTGAAAGGCACCATCCACTCAGATTATTTCATGTGAATAAATAGAAAACCAAAAAAGGCAGGCAAACTGTCCAAGGACACATGGGTAGTAACAGGGCCTAACGCAGAATCCTATCTCCTGATCTCCAAGTCAGGGGGTCTTCTGTATACCATTCTTCTATGTCTAGAACAGGGTTTCTTAACCTAGAGTCCCAGGTACCCACTAAAATCATATGCAAAATATTATGTGTATTCTTCTGTGGAAAGGGTCTGAAGCTTTTATCAACTACTCAAAGGATTGAGACTTCTTAAAAAGAACAGCTGGTCTACAACCACTTCATTTTCATCCCCATTTGAGTACCAATGATATCATATCTTTCTTTCTTTCATGCCTACAGCACCTGATCTTCCTACATGGTCTCTCACCCAAATATTAACCAGGCCTGACTCTCCTTAGCTTCCAAGATCAGATGAGATCGGGTGTGTTCAGGGTGGCATGGCCGTAGACAATGATGACATATTTCTAGATCTTAGGTCACTTCCTAGAGGGGCAGTGATCATTTAAAAGAAGGGTCCTCAATATCTCACAGAGTTGTAAAAGCTCAGAAAGAGCGCTCATGTCATAAAAGAAAATTTATTAAAAAAGAGATATTCCAACTAAAAATAAAAACCTTAGAAATCCTTTCAGATGGACTTTTAGGTAATTGGCCCATTTATACTAGTTAGAGAGCAACTGTGGTACTATGTACTGTAGAGATTCAATTTAGAACCAGAGGGTTTTATCACTAAATAGCGGTGTACAGCTAGAAAGGTACTTCTACGCTCTGGGCCTTGACAGTCTCGCCTGTAAAACAGACATAGTGCCACCTCCACACAGGGCTGAATGACAGTGATGCAACTAAAAGCGCCTATTACAACAAATGGCATTTAGTAGGTGTTCAATAAACACTACTTAAAGGTGTGATCCCTTCAATTTAAATGAAATTTGGATTTTAGATTAAAACATGAATTTATGTTCTGATTATTTTCCCTTAAACTTTTAAATCTTCCATAGAAAGTGCCAGTTAAAAAAGAATCAGTTACTTTTATATCACTTTACTTAGTTAATTCAGAAATTCTGGGGTCAGAAGAGAGTGAAGGCTTTTCAGAAAATTAGGGTTAATGCATATAAAAAACATGGTATTTTACAACTAAAAGATATACAATAAATATTAGTTCCTTTTTCCCATCCAATCCCCTCAAACATTTCATTACTACTTCATGCTTTCTCTAATTTCACAACTACCTGGCTCTCACTGAGCTGGATCATGAGTGTCTCAGTAGTTATTTTTCCCTTACAAGAAAAAAATCTCATCTCTCTAATTTCAATCTATTAGTCTCTAGGCTCTTAGGCCTTGCTGTTGGCTATGATTCCAAGATTACAGATTGCGTAATCATTTTCTTGAAATGACATTTCAAAAGTCTCAGTAAGACTCACACTCTGATTTGACGAATAGGTCCATATTTCCCAAATATATCATACATTTCTTCAGCTGTGATTTTGTAGGGCAAATTTCTTATATACAAAATCCGATTTACTTCAGGTGGAAGGCGAATCTGAAATGAGAAGTATATATTGTCATTAGAATCAGGAGATAGAGTGCTACGGTTTAAAAAATTCTCATAATAAATAATAAATTCTCACAATAAAAAAATGATACACAAAAAACCCAAGAACAAGAATTATATTTGAATATCATGGAAAATAGCATGCTATTGGAAAAGCAACTAGGCACTGGTTTTAGGGAAAATTATTAATAAGAACTAGTAAGGGGCTACTACAAAACCCAGGCTTTCAATTACTACATTTAAACAAGGATTTCGAATTTCATTAAAAAGTCTTCAATGCTTCAGGCATGTGTGGAAAAGAATAAAGGGAACTGTTCCTGTTTGCTAGACAATAAAACTCTCACTGATGACATTTCTCTGATGGTCTCTTCAGGCACTTGTTATATCAATGATTTCTTCTCTCTTTTAAATTTACAGCCACTCCTTCGATAATGGTTTCTTTTATTCTTCAGGTTGCTCAGCACTTGCTTATGTACTGCCAGTCATTACACAAAACAAAATACTTATTTGGATCCCTTTTCATTAATTCAACAAACATTTACTAAGCACTTCTTTATGTAGACACCAGGCTAGGAAGTATTAGGATTACATGGTGAAGGAACAAACACAAGGTTTCTGCCTTTCCTTGTCAGCTGTTTATCCTTTCTTGCTTTTTTTTCTTTCAGTCAAGCCACTGGAAAGAGGAAGTCTGTACTCACAGCCTCATATTCTTTACTTCACTGACACCAATCTACCACAGTCTAGCTCTGACCTCAGCACTCTGATGACAAAGTGCTTTTACACACTAAGATCTTTTACTTGCAGTGTTCAATCCTCATCATACTTAACTTTGAGCCTCTGACACTGTTGAACCTTCTTCACTATTCTTGACACTATTTTCTTGGCTTTCTCCCAACTCTCAGGCTAGTTCTTCTCAGTCTTCTTTGCCATTAAAATATGCTCTGAGTTTTATCTTTAGACTTCTTTTTTTGCCCCTTTGTATGCCCCCCTTAACTCAACACTCTTTGGTCTCTTAACCACACACACTTTCCACATTGCGTTGATGACTTTCAGATAGGTATCTCCCACCAGATTTCAGTCGTGTTCCTTAGTAACACATTCAGTTACATAAAAGACATTAATTTGTTTAATAACTATTTATTACTGGGAACTATTTCAGGCATTACACTAAGTGTTGTATGTATGGAAGAATAAGATATTTATTCCATGCCTTCAAACTAGTAGTGGTGACAAATGGTAAACAAATTAAGTACAATAAAGTTTCGGACTTTAAGATTCAAGGATAAATTTTTTTTCAAGGATAAATTTAAATAGATGATCAACACTGTCAGACAATCACCGTATACTTCTCTAGCAAATTTCCTTTCTCCCTCTGCAAGACACTATATCACACTTTCTCTTTTCACCTCATATGCTTACCACAACCACTCCCTCTAACACCTGAGTTGGGCTGTAGTCTCTTTTCTGTCTTTCCTAAGAGATGACCTTGGCTCTCGCTTATTGAAGGAAACAGATACAACCAAATGGTAAGTACCTTATATTCATATTACTAAATCCACCAATCCACTATGCCAATCCTAAATCACTCCTGAACTTAACCCATTCTTCTCCTACATCATCAGTTTTTCCCACATACTGGATCGTTCCCACTGGGATACAAATACGTCACATATCTTAAAAAAGAAAGAAGTCGGTTACCATCCAATTTCTCTTCTTCCTATTTACGTGAAAACTTGTGGAAAGAACTATCTCTATTTTCTCAACTTCCACCCTCTTTTCATCACAAGACAACCAAGTTTTCATCCACTGAAATATCATCGAGGTTACCAAAAACCTCCATCTCACCATGTCCAATTATCTGTCTTCATCTTACTATACCTCTCAGCATCTTCAGAGTTGACCACTCGCTTAAGACGATTTTTTTAGGTTTCCGTAACACCCCACTAACATAAGGACGTAAGCAGTAGCTTTTTTTTTTTTTTTTAACTCATACTTGCTGTATCTCCAATACCTAGACTAGTATCTGGTACGTAGCAGGTGTTCAATAAACATATTTGATGAATTGATTTTCCATTCACAAGACTGCTACACATAGGTGCTCAAAAATATTGCTGGAAAACATTAAAGAAACATCCAGAAAGCTCCACGATGTACAGACTCCCAGGCTCTAGTTGCCTGTTGACCATTATTTATTCAGGACTCATCTGTGTTACCGACTTTTAGGCCGAGAAGATCATGAAGCCAGGTTCTAGATGCAGGTGAAGCAACAAAGGCTGTAAGGTTAACACTATCCGTGACACTAGGATAAGAGACTGAAGAAACTCAAAAGGGGTGGCGGCGGAAATGTGACTCAAAGAGCATATTCCTAAGGACCGGACCAGGATGAAATCTGACACTTCAGTAACGTCTAGGCTTCCCCGCTGTGGGGACGGAGGAGGGCCAAGAATGCTCTGATCCACGCCGCTGAGAAAGGCCAGCAAAGTCCTCCTCCTCGGGAGCAGTCCCCGATACTCACGTTCGCCCGCTTGGCCGCTTGCATCGCCATCCTGGCGGGGTGATGAGGTTACCACAGCAAACGCTAGAATTTCCCCGCGCTCGGCCGGAGCTCGCTCAGCTTCGAGGGCACCACGGCGTCAAAGGCAGGACATCAACATCCAGGATCCGCCGGAAGCTGTGATAACGCCGAAATAACGCCGCTCACGTCGACACGTGATGACGTATTCCCCCGTCCCCAAAAGACTCCGGGGCCAAACCAGCCCGAGTTAGTTAAGACGCCGGAAGGTTGAAAGGCGAGTGTCCCCGATGCTTCCGGGCTCTGGACCGAAAGGGGCCGGGCCTGGGTTTAGAAGGGGCGGTGTTCCGGTGGGGGCGGCCCTGAGCGGGGGAAGCTGGCCGGAGGGGGCGGGCTGCTCTCAGGTAGGTCCCGGAAGGGGGCGGGCCCTGGTGTGGGTACCTTTGCTGCTCCCCGCGTGCCGCGTGTGCCGGGGCGCGTGGGGGCGCCTGGGCCTGGGGTAGCTCGCCAGGCGTACCCTACAGGGCTCTGCCTCCGTCCCCGGAACCCTGGCGTAGCCTCTGAAGGCTGAGCATCTGCTGATCCGGCTCTCCTGTAATCCCTGCTGCGACGCGGGTCGCGACAAACACGTCATTCCCGCCCCGCGGCCTCAGCCAGTGCTCTGGGGCCGCGCGTACTAAGCCGGCCGCCCTTTGAGTGCACGCTCTTTATTTCCTTAGACCGACTTTACATGGATCAGTTGACGAGGTCGGGGGAGGGCCAGTGGGTTACCGACAGGCCTGCAGTAGCAGCCGCTGTCTTGCCTACGTAGTGAATTTTCAACAGGTTTGCTCTGGGAAGACCAGAGGTAGCCGTGTCCTGTACTGCCCTCTCTTTCATTGGGGCAACTCCAGGACGATTTTGCCCACGTTCTTGTTAGCCTCCATGTATTCATGGGCCTCTTGGATTTCAGTCACGGGGTAGACTCTGTCCAGAACCGGCATCAGACGTTGGGGACCCTCCGTGGAGAAGTGGGGCAGAATCTGTTCCGTGAAGGCCTTCACCAGCATTTCCTTGTACTAAGATAAGGAAAAGGAGACCATCAGTCTAGACAAGGCCTTACCTTGCTACTCCCCATCCTGCTTAGCCCTTGTGCTCTCTCTGAAATGGGTACACATCTGAAAAAAGTACTCAAGAGTACTTAAACCCTCCACTACCAGCATTATGTGCATGCCCCCAAATGAGTAACCTCTGTTCTGTACCAGATAAAGACTGAAGGCTGGAGTACAATATTACTGACAGCCTAAGGGCTGTTCTTAAATAAAGGCTTTAAGCAGGAGCCAGCCACAGGCAGATATCACGTAGGCTCACTCAGTTCAAAAGGCATGCTTAAGGTCTGCTTTCCCCCAGCAGGTGTGAAACCCTATACTGGGAAACATTCTCAAAGCTGCCACCTGCTAGAATGCTACACGGAGAAGATTTCAGGTTGAATAATAAGAGGCTTTCTTAACATAGTGAGAAGAGTCCTCCTGTGTTTCAAAACAAAGTCTTGGAACTGTTAGAAGTATTTCCTAATGTGGTCATTCTGTTAGAAAGACTCCCCGGGTCTCATAGTGTTAGCTACCCTTTTCCCAAGATTTCGGGCTTCTATAGACCAATTTTAATTAGTTCTGTGAAACTGAGTTAACTACCCATGAGGGCAGGTTTCTACACAGGCTCCCTAACTTAAGATGTGACAAATCTTCCTTTCTTTGGGGTTATGGGAATGAATCACATTTTTCTGGGTAATAGTTAACTTTTCATGCATCGCTCACCTTTTTGTCCCTAGATCTCAGCAAACTGGTGATCAGACTTCCTCGTTTGAAAAGTAGCTTTGAAAACAGAGGCCCATTGACATCAGCTCCTCCCATCAAACCGTAGAGAACCCAGCGACCATCAAGAGCCAGGCAGTTGACATTTTTCTCCCAGTAGGATCCTCCTATGCAGTCTAGAATAAGGTTGACTCCAGCACCTTCCACATGAAACACAATTTGTAATACTAATCAGACACAGAAAGCTTGGTGCAAAATAAGATTTTGTAGATATATGGGTATTAATAAATACAGGTACAAGTGGTAAATCTATAGATTGGAACTAGAAACATTGCTCACAGAAACATTGTAAATGGAGTCTAGGTAGCTGAACCCTACCATACATGTGTAATATAGTTCATCTTTCATGATCTCTAGCCACAGCATGTGGAAAATGAGGCAACACTATGATCTGGTATCTTCCTTGACCTTCACATTAGTAGAGAACCCACTGACACCGTACAGGAGTGAGAACAGGGGAGGTCCACCCCAGGCTACAAGGCAGGCTGGTAGTTCACATCCAAGTTAAGAAGTGTTTGCGTTGGATTGTTTGAACTGTAGCTTTGCTAGTTTTGGTTTCATCTCTCCTTTTCTACTCATGTGGAAAAATGGAAAGGGAGCCAATAATATTCAGATTGGGCTTTGGAATACAGGGGCTCATCCATTTAGGAAGCTACCACCCCAATCCTACTATGTCCAGCTCCAAAATGATCTCTGCCCCATGTCTCCTGTTAACTCAGTGTGGACTGGCTGGTTGGGAATAAGAGGTCCTGGATAATTCCTGGCCAACTCTGTGTGATTATCTAGTTTCTAAAATGTGTATGAATAAAAAAAAATTTAAAGAAAAATAAAACGTGTATGAATCATATCACAATACACATGGAAACCATCTTAGTCCTAATACTGCCTGCCTGTCTCCAAAAATCAAAAGCCAGAGTACTAGAATTTGGCCAGGTCAGCTGTTGTACATTTAGCAGAGGTAAGACAGATCTAGAGCACTGGTAATCTTGGGGCTCCCAGGATTTTATTTAATCATCTCTGAAATTCTTGCTGAGCTGCATAAGTTGTTGTTTACCTTTGGTGAATTTCAGTGTTGCTTCAGAAAAATCCTCTTCTTTGTAATTGAATCCAGCAGCTGCTCCAAGTTTTTCTGCCATCTGAAGCTTGTACTGGGAGCCAGCTGTGACCAGAGGAATAGCTCCAGCCATCCGGGTGAGTTGGATGGCAGCTGTGCCCACCCCACTGGATCCTGCATGGATTAGTACAGAGTCTCCAGCCTGAATGTTTCCTGTGACAGAAAGGATAGGAACCAGTCACTTTGAAACCACTACACATTCTCCATGTTAGCATATTCTACCATGATCACCTGGCCCAGGGGCCACCAAATGTCAAATCGCTTGCTCTCTTAAGAGAACATATTGACAGTTCTTTTTTGTCTTATTGCCTCTGGTCAAAGTGGGGAACACATTTTTGAAACAGAATTACTAGCAGCCACATCTGTTATCTATGTTTTACCTATGAAATAATGCCAAAATGCACATCTCCGATCTATATCTGAATAAGTAGGAATAACCACCATTCCCACTGTCACCACCGTAAGCTAGTCCCTCCAGTCTGAAACTGGCCTTCAGCTGGTCTCACTAATCCAGGCACCATACACAACCACTAGGATCCTTTTCCTAAAATGGAGCTTTCATTATGTTATTTTCCTCAACATACGATGTGGCTCTCGATTGGCTTTTGAATCAAGTCCATACAGCCTGCTATTCAAGGCCACCACAATCTAGTCCCAACCTCATTTTTCACAAATGATAACTGTCATCCTTCACTTCTGAGCTGAGCAGCCAAATCTCACCTTTCTTTCTCACTAAGAAAAAGACCTCCCTCTTAGGCCTTTGTGGCCAGCCTTCTGTTCATCCCAACTCGACCCACCCTTCAAGTCCTCTTCTAGAAAGCCTTCTCTGACCACCTTTGTCTACACCAACTTTTCCCATATTGAGCTTCTATTGTAGTTAGAGACAAGGCCACCCTTCCGAACTCAGTGATTACACTGAGCTTCCTAAAGGCAAAGACCTAATCTTCTTAGACTCCCTCACATGACTTTTTGGCTGGCCTCACTGGGGTTGGGGAGGAATAAAAGAGTTGGTTGAATGGCCCCTTGTGTTGCCCCAGGGCTCCCAGAGGAAAGCTCAACATGACTTTGAGAAGCTGGGACAACTGGTGGGCCTACAGTGTGACGATGCGCACAAGCCTTCTAGCCAGTGCTTTCTAGGCCTTCCGATAACCATGATTTTCAGTGTCAACATCAAGCCATTGCTAACATGGAATGAGGACCTTACACTACTGGTGGTACAGCTGGGTGAGGTCCTGGGGTTGGGTGTGGCTCAGTGGCCAGGACAAAGCTGCCTTGTAGGACTACTGGGTTTTGAGGTAGCTTAGGAAGGAATTGAGCCACATCACATGGAATGAGCATGGGGCGGGGTGGGGGGTGGGAGAGCGGGTACCTCACCCAAGAGATGTAACAGCTGGAAGGCGGTGAGCCAGGCCTCTGGGATGGCGGCAGCCTGGGGCAGGGTCAGTCCTGCTGGGATGGGCAGGAGGAGCTCTTCTGGGACAGTAACATATTGAGCCTGACCCCCACCGGACAACAGAGCCATGGCTAGGTCCCCGACCTTCCAGTGCCCGTGGCAGCCAGGCCCCAGCTCTGCCACGTGTCCGGACGCCTCGAGTCCCAAAATGCTGCTGGCTCCTGGGGGTGGGGCATATCGGCCTTGTCTCTGCAGAGAGCAGTACACTAAATGGTGAGTGTGATCAGAAATCTGTGTCACCATCCCTGCCCCTCTTCCAAGAGTCCTTTTTTTTCTGACAAAAAATTTAGGATAAAGTCAGGTTTTTTAAGTCAGGGAAACAGAGAGAAGAGGTAATTTGTTTCATGTAAATAGAGATGGTAGGTCATATAATCAGTAGACGTTGTAACTAGTAAGGTCCTGCGCTATTTCCCTCATCTAAATCCCTTGTTTTACAAATGGGAGAAACAGGCCTGGACAGGGAAATGCCTTGTCCAAAGTTGCAAAGTAAATTAGTGGCAGTACTAATAACAGAACTATGGACTCCTTAATGATAGTTTACATCTATCAATTGCCAGGCTCTGTAGTCACCCATCAGAATCCTCGGGAGCCGAATCCAAGCCTTTAGACCAGAGAGACTGAACCAGGAATATGCATGAGAACCATTTAAGGGCTTTTTCAAACTACACATGCTTTGGTCCAGGTCATGTTTATTTTGAAAAAGTGCTCCAGGTGATTCTGGTGTGATTTCTCAAGCATCCCAACCAACTCAGCTGGTCTAGGTTAGCTCTTCAAATAGCAGACAAGAAAATTAAGAGTACTGCTTCCCCGCCGGCCCAGTGACCCTCAGAGTGGAGAGAGTGCAGACTTTGGAGCCACAGAGACCTCAGTTTGAATCACGGCTCCCCACCCACCGCCCCACCCCCATTACTAGGGTTGTGGTCTTGGATGTACTGTTTAACTTGTCTGACTCTCAGTTTCTTTATCGGTGGAATACAAACGGTGAATATGGTTGCCAGCGGAGTAAATGAGAGAGCATGGCCTAACACACACACCCCCCTAACAAACGGTAAATCCCTTCTTATCTTCTTACCTGAGTGGACTACGGATTAACTCAGGGTGGATTAGGCTTCGCAAATACAGTACTCCTGTATTTTGTGTACATAAAGGACACTAAAGGGCTCTATGTCTCGGAACTCCCAGCACACACTGCACACACATCATGACGAGTGTTACAGGCAGTGCCCTAGGTCATTCCTTCATTTGTCTGGTGGATGTTTGTTGTAGACTCTGGTGTCCCGCCCTGCCGCAGCAGCTGCCTGACCCCTGGATACCTGGAGTAAGTCAGCCCGGTTCAGGGCACTGACCGCCACCCTCAGGAGGACTTCCCCCTCTCCTGGGCTCGGTTTGGCCACTTCCTTCAGGTAGAGGTTTTCCGGTCCTCCCGGCTGGTCAAAGTACACAGCTAACATGCTTCCTGAGGACACAAGGCACAGCAAGGGAGGAGGGAGCCAGAGCGGCTTCGAGACACACAGCGCCCAAGCTGGCGCTGCAGCGCCCCCTGCCGGCCAGCGACCTCCCCCTGCGGGACTCCGCGAGGTCTGGCCCCTGGCCCCTGGCCCCTGCCGGCGTCCTCCGAGGTCCCTGCCGCCTCCAGGCGGACCACGCACCGAGGACATAGATGGGGAGTGGGAGAAGTCAACATGGCCGGACTGGGTTTGATGAAGCAGAGCGGGAAAACACTGAAAAGCGTAAGGCAAATTCCATTCCCTCTGAGTTGGATTGCCCTGGCCGGCCCGGGTCACTGGCGCCCGAGTGAGTTACTCACCTATTCAGGGACGGGCAACTCGGTTGCTCCAGGAGGCTCTGCGCGGTCTTGCGGTCCCTGCCGGCCCTTGGGACTGCCTTGGCCGCGACTTACTAGTCGTCTGGAATCTGGGCAGAGCAAGGGGTGGGGCTGACCAGAACCAACCTTCCCCTCTCTTCTTTTTCCTCCTTCCCGTTTTAAAATGTAAAGCTAGTGACAGCGAATCGAATTTCCTTTTCCTTTGAGCCTCGGGAAACTAGTTTTTCTCTCGGTTTGGCAGGAAATGCTGTTCCATCTCTCTCTGTAAGAAGAGAAAACTTACTTCTCTCTAGGGAACTAGACCCGAACTCGGTTCATTTCCCAGTCAGGTCAGGCTTTTAGCCCATTTACGCGGTAGGTCTGGCATCCTGCCCTTCCTGTGGGCAGGCATCTCGAGTAGCGTGGGCAAGCAGGGTGCTGCTGAGAGAAAAGAGGAAAAGCAATAGGAGAAAAAGAGGAAGGTAAAAGCAGTCCTGGGGTTCTTATAACTTATCCTCCTGACTTTCCTGGTGATGAGGAAGCGGATCCTGGAAGATGCTGCCCAACGAGGCAATTTAGACTGGTTAAAAGCTGTATAAATAGGCTACATCAAGGTTTCTCAGTCTCGGCACTATTGACATTTTGCACTAGACAATTCTTTGCTGTAAAAGACTGCCCTGTGCATTGTGGGATGTTCAGTAGCATCCCTGTCTCCACAACACTGGATATCAGCAGCACCCTCCTCCAGTCGTGACAGTACAAAATGTCTCCAGACCTTG